ATGGAGTGTATTTGATGTGTTTAGCAAGTAAGAATTGAAGAAAATCGAGGAGAAGAAGAAGAAGGAGAAGACACCTAAGGAGAAGAAGAAGAAGAAGAAAATGGTTGCTCAATAATTGAAGGTTGACTTTTATAAAGCAACTAATAGGTGTTTTGGTTTTTTATCATAATTGGGTGGCTAAGATTAAGTTAATGGTAATCTAATCTAATGGCTATAAATATTCTCCAATTAAATTCCTTCAAAATATTATTTATTTCCATAAAATTCTTAAATTCACTCCATAAAAATAATTCCTCAAATTAATTAATATAACACCATAATTCACTATTCACTAATTATCTAAATTCTTCAAATAAATTCATTACTTACTTTCTACCCATAAAAATCATGTATGCATACTCCAAAAATATCAAATAAAATATAAGTATAAATAGTAATTTTTCCAGACCGAAACAATACCGAATCCCGAACCAGTGGTACTATTCACAGACCAATAAACTACTATTTCAGACACAGAAAAATGGGGCATTACGTTTACGGTAGAAAGGAGATTAAGAAGAGATAAATGTATCAATGACATTTATATGTACAAAAAGTAAACCCAATTTAAAGTTAATAGTCTTATTAAAGATTGTGAATAATTAGACAACTTTTGGAGTCAACTCTCTTATTCAAACACAAAACCGAAAACTAGAGATTCTAAGTTTGATCTCCAACGGAGTCTCCAGGCTGAGGATACGTTGATTTTTCCCAAAATAGGATTTGGAAAAGAATCGAAACGAACGGATTTGGTTGATTTTATTTAGTAAATTGATTTTCTATACTAACTCATCCGTTAATTCTCAAAAAATAATTTTCTTACTTTGATAAGAGTTTTATTTTTTGGAGTCACCACCTTTATTAGGGAAAATTCTCGAATTAGTTGATTCTTTGAAATCGACTAACTTGATTTTAAACCAGAGATGGGGTTCGGGAGTTAGGTATGGTAGAGGAAGGTATTAGGCACCCCTATCGCCCGGTTAAACTGGCCTCCACGTTGTCCAAAGATTCACAATTAACTCAAATAATGCGATTAACTATAAATGAGGTGAAAATACTTTTCAATGCAATTTTGAAAAACTATGTCAATCACACATTCAAATGAGGTATAAAGCATAAAAACATAAAGTAAATCATCCAGAAAGAAAGAGGGAGGAGAAAAGAGTTACATCCCATCCTAGTTTTTACAATCTACCCTCATCCCTCTAAATTTCCCAATTCCCCAACTAATTATTACATACAAGCTTTAATTGAGATACATTAAGATCTCACTACATTTTACAATAACACAACATCAAAGCATAATAAGAAATAAACATTCATACAATCAACATAAACACAAAATAGAAATTATTCACAGAATAATAATTCACACATTCCCAACCACCAGCACTCATTCATTCACAAAAATGAAGATATGATGCATGTACAAGATATAAGATTAATGAATAAAGGGGTAAGCACCATAATAAATATAAGGCATTGATTTTAAAGGCACAAAATTAAAAGGACAGAATAATAAAATGTTGGAAAAGTAAATAACAATAATTAAAAGACAAGAATTTAAATAGTTAATCAAGAATGAAGCTCATGGTCTTGATGCTCATCAAGGATGATGAACAAATTCATCAATCATTGCTCTCAACCTTGTTATTATTGTTATTAGATCCATTTATGACCAATAGTGCATCCCAGACCTTTTAAGGTTGGAGCTTGGTCACTGGATCTCTGGATTGGGGCCATCGATTGATTATTAAACACACTGAACCTCTTAAACGAAGGGTCTGGTGCCATATGGAGATGTAGCGTGCGCCATAGAGGTGTGGCATGCACTCCATGTAATGTGGCGAGGCCCTTCCCAGATCAGGAAGTTTTCAGGTAAAGAATGAGTGGAGAATAGGGGATCTAGGCTCATGTGGCACGAGCCCCCGGCATGTGGCGTACGCCACACGTAGTGGCTTACGCCACTAGCTTAGGTTGTGCACCACAGAGACACAGAACTCCCTTATTAGTTAATCCTAGATTTTCCTCACAACCAGACTCAAAAGAGATGTTTAAAACACCGAAAAGGAAGAGAAAAAGATGAAAGAATGAGTTTAAGATTCTCAGAAACTACTTTTGATGATTTCTTTGAAGATTGGTTCAAAAATGGATGAAAAAACCCAAATACTTGGTTCTTGATCCAATAATCCGAGATTGAAGATTATGGTGTGTGTTTTTGGAATTTTTTTATTAATCTTAGAGGGTTTTTAATTGAATAATCAATAAATCTCAATCTTAGATCAAAAGTTAACATTAGTTGCCTTTGAATCAGAGTTTGAGTTTTCAAACCACAACAGTTTTGCCTAAGTTCCCAAAAAAAAAAAAAAATCCTATCTTTGGCTCATCCCCCAATGTCTATTTATTGGTAAATGAGGATGGGCGGCCCATCTAGGGCTAACGTGGCAAAAACGCCACTGTTTGGCCTCGCAATGGGACTGGGTCCACTTTTACTAAGACAAATCAGATGGCACACGAATCGAGGAGGTGCACCGAGAAGTGTGACAGGCAAGGCCGCCATACTTCTCGGGCTCAGTTTCATCGTGAAACGCCGGTAACTCGAAAAAGTAAAAATGGTTAAACACAATGATAATCTCAACCACGAACCAGTGGTCCGAAAACCGGGACAATCGGGAATTCCGATCCAATTTTATACAAAAACGATGTATCATCATTGAACCTTTTAGGGGCAAAATTTGAGCGTCTACAATAATATTTAATACTAATAACACAAAGCATCATCCATTCTATCCATTTTTCCTGAAAACCCAAACCCGTCGTCATATCCCTAAGGAAATTCCAATTAACCCGATCATAGGCCTTAGAAATAACAATTTTTAAAGCTGCTACCTCAGAACCTCCTCTAGTTTGTTGCTTCATATTATGTAAAATTTCAAAAGCCACTAGAATATTATCCCGAATTAACCTACCTGGAACAAAAGCCGACTAGCAATTAGAAATAACCTGTGGTAACACTCTTTTCAACCTATTAGCCAAGGTTTTAGAAATTATTTTATAGAGAACATTACATAATGCTATGCGGGTGAAAATCCTGAAGTGATTCAAGTCCTGCTAACTTTGGGATTAAAACTATCATAGTATTAGTAAGGGATTCCGGAAAAATACCTATATTAAGCCATTGCCTGCAGCTGTCAAAAATATCTTTCCCCACCACATGCCAAAATTTTTGATAAAATGTCAGATTGAGACCATCAGGTCTTGGTGTTTTATCAGGATGCATCTGAAAAGCTGCATCTTTAAACTCATCATTCGAAAAAGGAGCCAAAAGAAAATCATTATCGGCAATAAAGACCCATTTTCTTACTAGCCGAAGGACCAGTCTTGTGTCACCCTCATCTGCTTGATATAGAGTAAAGAAATAATTTTTAATAATTGCATGCATGGCTTCGATTTCAGTAACCCAAACACCCTTTACATCACGTAAACCACCAATAATGTTATTCTTTCGCCTCCCTTTAATGTAGTTATGAAAAAATTTGGAATTACTATCACCCTTTTACAACCAAAACACCTTAGATTGTTGTCATTGTCGAATGTCTTCCCTCTCCAAAATGCCATTCCATTTGAACCTTAGCGCACTGTATTCTGCATTAGACATAAAATCTTGTCATTACTCCAGAACCCGACTAATCAAATTTTTACGAAACTGGAGATCTCTATTCCTGACTCTAACCCAGCTCCTCAAAGCCTGAAAACAATTGTCCTTGCTCTCCAAAATCATATCTGTCTCACCCCCAGTCCAGTCGTGTTTCATGACATCCCCAATATCATCCTCCGATAACCACGCATTATCGAAACGGAGAAAATGATTCACCACAACCCCTTCTATAGCACATTTGTCAAACAAGATTGGCTTATCATCTGACATGGGTGCAACTAAAGTTTCACTATTCAATTCTAGAAACAAATCGCTAAAACATTCATTGACAAAACACTAATCCAGTCTCTCCTGCACCATCACCTAACCATTTCGGTGTTGAGGCCATGTAAACAGAGACCCCGAATATGGCACCTCTAGAAGATTACTATCATAAACTGCACTTTGAAAACCTTGAACCAAATACTATGGCTATATGTCCCCTCCAACCTTCTCATTCTGGCCGAAGATATCGTTGAAGTCCCTTAGGCACACCCAAGGTCTAGAGTCTTGACTAGCTAAAGCTCATGGCAAATTCCAGGATTGTCATTGTTGAGACTGTTCTAGGTATCCATAGAAACCAGTAACTCGAAAAGAAAGATTATTGACCTGAAAATGGCAAGCAATAAAGTGAGAAGAGAAAACTTGAATTTAAAGACCAACATTCTGCTTCTATATCATTGCCAACCCGCCACCCATGCCCACTCGATCAACCACAAAAATATTATCAAACCCCAGAGCCCGTCGCACCTCCTCTACCTTACTCTCATATGCCCTCGTTTCCATTAAAAAAATTGCCAATGGCTTGTAGTTTCTAGAGAGCTCCTTAACAGCTCGAACTATACGGGGATTGCCAAGCCCTTGACAGTTCTAAGATAAAAGTCTCATTGCTTTCGACTGTCCTGTCCAGTAGTATTAGTCGATCTATGTTTTTATAAGCTTTCAATGAATCCAAAATACTAGAAACATTAATAGTCGTTTGATTATTTTCCGAGGTCTTTTTTTACCATCATCTGGTCTTGTTATCCCTTCCTCCATACCACTTAACCCAATAAACATCCAGATCCATTGCCTTCCTCCCATACATCTCCCTCCCCATAAAAGCCGCTTGAAAATCATGGACCTTCAAGTAATTCATTTAACCGCCAGTAGCGTCATCTCCACTTCTAACCAATTTATGAGTAACCACTTCCCCCTCCTCCTTTATCCATGAGCTAACATATTGATTCTATCTTATATATGGAACTCTAATAGAATCGTCCCACTACAGTTGTAAGTCCTCCTTATGTCGATGTAAACGTAGCTCACAATAATTGTCCATGTGACCAAGCTTGCGTATGAAGACAAATAGTTTCTCGTAACGGAACAAGACAAAAATAGCTTCTCCAGATGGGGTAATAAGTTTTGTCCTCCATTGCAACTGCTTCGTAATATCCAATCTAACTAAAATTCTCATAAACTTCCACAGTGCAACAGGTAGGGGTCTCATATCATACTCAACTAACTCACCAATGAAATTTCCTAGCATTGTTGCAATCGATTCCATCATAAAACCCGCAGAAAGGTCATGAATCTGCACCCAAAATTTAGTCTTTAATAGGGGAACCAGCAAAGGATCTTCATGACCTTGCAGCTTATGCCATAACAACAAATGGCGACTGAAGTGCCATGGCAAGCCCGTCATGACGCTTTCCAAGTCATCATCATTGTAGAACTGAAATAAATAACGTTTTGCACCCAGTCCTGAAATCGTAATACCCCCCCTAAGGGGTGCCATAGATCAACAAGTGTTATTGTCATCGATGGAAAGTGTATAGTATTCAATGTAAGGAACATCCCTACCAAGCAAAAGTCATACTGAGATTGAATATAGCCAGGGCTAGAAGGAACCTGATTTCCCTCATCCTCTTCTGCAACAAGGGACAACGGTTCTAAAGAGGTTTCCATGGTGATCGGCGAAAACTAGAAGAGCGGAAGTTAGGCTTAAACGGAAAAAGCTAGGGTTTAGGTTAAGAGACGTAAGCATGCCATAAGGGCATACAGGAGAACATAGCTTACCGACTATCAATTTTGCTGGTACCAAAAATTAATTGAAAATTCACATTATTACCACTCATTGTTTGAATCGAGAATCCAAATTAGGGACATTCCCTTTTTATTTCTCTCAAATTGTTTTTACTTTTTAGAAAAACAACTGTGTAAGTTAGAGTTATTTAAATTATAACTCAGCTAAACGCCTAATTAGGATTTGTTGAATTTTATCATTATATAAAATAAATTAATATGAGATCAGAGTTTCTATATAATATTGGAAATTAAGAAATTTTTTAATTTAAAAAATATGTATTAATATTTAATTGTAATATTCATATATCTATATGTAGACATGATTCAGAATTGAACCGAAACTGAATCGATGAAAACCAAAACTTAACCGAGATTAACAGTTCAAGGTTCCAAACCGTAATGAAAACTGGATAAAGTTCAGTTGCAATTCTTTATATTTGAAAATCAAAATCGATAGTATTAATTTTAAACCTGCAATTCCAATTTGAAACTATTAAAAAAAGAAAAGAAAAGATCACACGTGATTTTCAAATTGTTAAAATTAATTTTAATTTTCAACATTAACGGAATAATTTTTTAATAAATTTTCAAATTATTTATATACTCTTTTTTCTTTTTTTTCTTAATTTAACACCGTTTCCTGTTATTAATTTTCTTCTTTAGCTAGAAAACTAAAAAATGTTAAAAAAAACTTGAAAAAAAATTATCTAATTCCGGTTTAAAATCGAAACCGACGGTTTTAAAACCACCTTTGAAACCGTCTAAAAACGATTTGATTTTAGTTCCACCTTTTTTAAAACCGAAAACCAGTAATTTTAGAATCATTGAAATGCCTATCTATATATATTTATATTAAATTGAAATAAAGAGAAACTTTCAAATATAGATTTGGTATTCTCCTCAACCGGTAGCTAATAGTCCAAGGGAGGGCGGTGAGACAAATAAACCACCCAAGATTAAATAACAAAAGGAGGCAGTAGCTTCTCGCTAGGGAAGCTTCGACAGAATAGAAGAAGAAAAATATCGGCTTTTTAAGGTTTACTGCTCCGATACCATGTTATGAATTGAGAAAAAAAGACGTATTGTTATTTCAAGTTTCATGTTTTCTAAGTTGCAATACATGAATTTGCATAGAACAATAAATGTTAATGCTCGGGATCCATTTAATTGATACCATAAAAATAAGAATGCAGGTCAGTCAGCTAATCAATATAAAGCTTTGGCAAACATATAAAAAAGCTTGCCTTACCTTTCATAGGGATGAAGGGAACCGAATAGAAAAGCTGCCAAGACACCCCGCACTTAATATTCCTTGTGCTTCTAGATATATGAATTTCATATGTTACAAGATACTGTTCACACCTGGAAATTGGGATAGAATGAAGCCCAACATGGTGCACATGCTAACTGAATGGTGAACTTCCTAAGCTCAAGACCCACTCAAACTCAACCCATTAGAAGAGACGTCTAGCAAGTCAAGACAATTGGTAATAGCATTACCAAGACAAACTCAGCAAAAGGAATTATTACATTCAATTTTCATAACCCAGCTTCCCGCAAAGCCATTGGCCTTTGTTCCACTTTTAACTGTTAATGAGAAAGAATCTGGTTCAACCGGGATTAGGAGCAATCACTGAAACACACACCAGAGAGAGACACGCAAAATCTGCACACCTACATAACTTAATTGCCACAGCTTGCACTATCATCATTAGACTTACGCATAATGCATATTCTTAATCATATAAGTACACCATGATTTGATTCACAACAACAATTTCATAGCTTTGAAGGATCTAAAATTTTAGAATAATTTAAAGATTAACAATTAACCAAATTTTTGGTGAAACATGACCAAAAAGAGATCCAGATCCATAAAACCATTAGACATCTAAAAATAACTTCAACTTCTCTCGTTCTACTGCAAGTGTCACTTTAGTTTCCTCTTTTTTTTTTTTTTTCTTTTTAAATGTCACATCATCTATCATTTTAGAAAATTAAGTTTTAATTATTTTTCCACCTCCACACCTTTCTTGCTGTCCCCACTATATAAATACATTTTTCTCTTCCTTATCATCTTTCTATCTTCCTTATCAACTGTCATGTTAGATAATATTGGATCCGTGATAACTTTTGCACATTAGTAAAGATAACAATAGAAATACTACTTTGCTATTTGCTCACATATCAGTCAAATATTTGCTCCCTAATAAATGGAACAAACCTTTGTTGTTTCACTTTGCAAATTGTGATATATAGTGAAGCCCATTGACCAAAACTTTCAGAACTCCTTTCGGTCACCTATCTACTAAAATGAACCATCTTCACAGCGTACTTCAACAGTTACTGTCAAATCATTTCAAATTCATCCAACCAAGTACACTTCTTGCACCATCATGATTAACATTCAGTTTAAACTAATCATGTAATTCCAAAATGCACAGACAACCTATGCTATTGAGCCATTAAAAAAAGAAGAACGGAAGAAATCAACAAAAGTCCAAGCTCCATGCAAATGCAATCCCTAAATTAAAATGACATCCCAATTTGAGGAAAAAACTAAAATACTAGATATTTAAGGCCTTAACATTTATTTAAGACACAGTAAGAGCATTTCATATGAATGAATTCCATAAATGAAAATTCATATAGTGTTACATCTTTAATTATATAGAATTGGTTTTTCTTATTTTATCAAAATTGATGGAATTGGCAAATGAATTCTAAACTTAACAAGGGTACAAAGCACTAAAACTAATGATTTCTAACTACAAAATAGTAAAGCTACACATTTGAAATGAATTCTATAGTTAATCCAAACATGAGAATTGATTAACAAATGAATGAAATGAATGCCATAACAATTTATTCAAAAAACTAAGTATAAACTAGTAAATAAAGAATCCATTTGCAAATGAAATGAATTATGTATGAATTGATTCAATATACTATGTAAAGGTAATAAAAACAATCATTCAATAAAAATTGAAATTATTCATTGATATGAATTACATTCACATTACAGATACCTGAGCGTTTACTATTGACAAAAGAATGGAAGAATTGCTGCTGTTAAAAAGCCACAGGACACAATAACGTATTTTATATACATAGTATAAGCTATCATTTACTGTAACTAGTAACTACCTTAATCAACGAAACTCTAGCACTCTAGCGACATCGCCAAACAAAATATAAACATGGATCAGTATTTCAGCAGGTTAAAATAACAGCAAAGACAGGCAAAAGAAGGAGCAAGTAAACTTATAAATCTTTCCAAACATTAAAATCAGTAGTTGAGCTGTTATAGTCGATCATATTATCTTGGCACCCAATAAAAAACGTAGAACGTATAGGATCTACATTTACCAAAGCATGGGCAGTTCCACTTGGACTAGCTGCAACAGCAACCTCATCTGCACCAACAATCACTTGAGCAAAGCCTTTATCCGATATCTGGCTGTTTTCCAACTGCAATTGGTTGAGAAATATGTGAAGAAACAACACAGAAACAAAAAATAGAAGACAAGTTGATGCTACCAAATGATTAACACAAAATGAAGATAAAGGACAAAACTTTTAAAGTCTGAAATAGAACTCAACAAATGGCAAGATTTCTTAACATACTTGAACATCACATGTATAACTGGAATATTTCATTGCAGAGAAGAGAAATCATTTACCCTAAACAAAGTTTTGGCACCCCAAATGACAAATGTCTCATTGCAAGTATAGTGTCTATGGTTTCCCCTCACAGAGCCAGGCCGTATTTCACCAACATGAAGTGAATCGCAAGACACTGCACTACCTGGAGAAAAACAAGACCAATTAAGCCCAATAAATCAAATTGGAAATGTCATTATGCAGCGTTTTTACAGTGTAAGAAAAAGAATCGAATTCGAAAGAGAGACCTCTAATTCCAGAGTGAATGGCAAGAGAAACGGGATTGAAGAGCCAACCACGCTTGTCTTTGATGATGGGAGAAGGGAACAACTCAGATTTGAATCTTACCAAATTGGCCTTCTTATCATCTTCTGTGCTCCATATTTTCGCCTGAGTTCCATGAAGATTAGCGGGAGAGAAATGTGAAGAACGCTGAAGTCTGAGAGAGAGCCATGTGAGTAAGAGAAAGATCAAAAGCAAGAAAGGGAAGGCTTGTGGCTTCTTTAAAAAATGCTTTATAGATGACAATCGTGAGAGATTCTGGAACTGAAATGAATTCTCTGAGCTCCTCCTAGGGTTCGCCATCTCACAATCTAATTTCGGCTCGCCCTTTTCAGTTTTTGAACTCTACCACTGTCAGTTACTACTAACACATAAGCTTAGCGGTATTAGAAAATTTCATTTTATTATTGATTAAATATATTTATAAAATTATTTTTTAAGTCAATCCCATGTAATTTAATTGTCTTTTCACTTATATGAGAAGTGAGAAATCACGAATCATTTCGAGCACAAGTGTTTTAACAAATTTATTGAATGAAAAATTATTCCTTATCGTGTAGTCCGCAATATTATTTCACTCTATCAGGTCTCCTAATAAATAAAAAAAATTATTTTTTTAATAAATAAATAAATATATAGATGTGTAGGTCCGCAATATTATTTCACTCTATCAGCGTCTACTAATAATAAAAAAAAATTAATTTTTTTAATAAATAAATAAATATATATAATATAATATATATATTAAGCATTTTAAAATTTAAGTTTTATCTTTAACCTAAATTTTAATTTTATTTTTTAATAAATATATATGATAATGAGGCATTTGAAAATTATTTTATATTTTTATTAAATATTTAATTCTTTTCGGATATAATAAAAAAAAAGAAAATGTATTTTTTTTGTTAATTTTCTTTTTTCGTTTGTATGATTTGATTGGATTTATTTTTTAAAAAAATAAATTTTTAAATATAATATATAATAAAATAATAAATTTTTTCATTTGTATGATTTGATTGGATTTATTTTTAAAAATAAATTTTTACTTCGGAGATAAATAAAGAAAAGAAGAAAAAAAGTATATTATTTTTATTAATAATTTTTTTATGTTTGTAAGATTTGATTGGATATATTTTTTAAAAAGTAATTTTTCAAATAAAATTTACATAATTAAACATCAAAGCAAACATTTCAAAACTTTAATTTAAATATATATATAATATTTTGTTGATGTATCTATATATCTAGATACATTGAAACGTTTTTTTATTAGGTGAGTTTTAAAAGAGTTTTATTATTAATAATAATTTTTATTTTTTTTTTCGTTATTGAATAGTTTGTAACTACTATCATTTTAATTTTTAATAATAATTTTTATTTTTTTTTTCGTTATTGAATAGTTTGTAACTACTATCATTTTAATTTAGTAAGAGATTTATATCTCCCTTGCAATAAATAGATGACCTATAAATGATTAAGCATTTTTAATTGTTTGATATTTTTTCTCTTTTCTATCTTAAGTCTGTTTGACTTAAAAGAAAATAATATTTAGGAAGCTGGAAAAACACTAAAATTATATATTTCTACTTGGTCACTTTTTGGGGTTTCAAAAATTTGTTCATGTGCATATATTCATTTCTCTGAAATATTGGGTAAGTAATATCGTAACTGTAGCTAAAGTGATTTCTATTGTCAATTCAGATTATATTCTCATTTCTTTTCTTTTACCTATTATTGCGACTGTAGCCAAAGTGATTTCCATTATCAATTCAAATCATCTTCTCTTTTTTTTCTTTTACCTACAGTAAAAAATAATTTATTATTATTTTTCATTATAGTTATATATAAATATTGATTTGGGGTTAAGGGCAGGGGTAAGAGATTCAATGACTTGATTTTATTTTTGGGCACCAATTATGATTTTAAAAATCTGCATTTATAAATTAGGGACTAAAGGATTAGGTCTAGGTAATGAATTGAACTTTACTTTAAAACCACTTCATTATATAAAAATAGAATTATTGAACTTTACTTTAAAACCACTTCATTATATAAAAATAGAATTAAGAACATAAGACTTAGCATTGCAAGTATTTTGCACAATAAAATATAATACAAATTAACCACTTGTATTTATTTTAATCTAAATAAAAATTATGCTTTAATATTATATAGATAAAAAAATGATTATACAACACACGTCGTACAAAAAACTAGCATATATATATTTGTTAATGTGTAACTTTTAACACTAGTAGTCTTAAAAATTAATTTCTTTATAATCAAATTAAAACTTAATTATCAAGTTTTATAATTAAGTCTTACAAATTAATTTCTTTATAATAATTTTTTTTTGGGTAGGCCCTCCATCAGGGTGTTCATGGTCGATTTGATTTGATTTGAAATAATTACTAAACCAAATTAAAGCAGCGGTTTAAAATATTAAAACAAAATTAAACCATTAAAAATCAAAATTAATCAAACTTTTAATGCCGATTTAATTCAATTTGACAATTTGAGATAGTTTTAAAAAATAGAAACAAAATTCCTCATTCATCTAATAACAAGAAAAAAGAGAGACTAATATTATATTAAACATGAAAAATAGGTTAATACAAATGATGACATAAAACATACATATTTCAACTAGTTGCTTAAAGTTTTTAATTTTTTTTTTTTATATTTATTCCGTGTATGGTTTAAAAAATCATATGTTAAATTAGACGCCAATTAAGTAATTTATTGATATAAAATTTCAATGTTGATTTATTTATATACTTATTACAGAATTCTAAGAACTAAACTAGTCGCTTAACCAATAAAGATAGATGTTCATTGAATTAGAAGGTTCAATCAGATTCAATATGGCTCAACTAGATTTTTTATATATAATATTTTAAATAAAATAAAATATAAAATTTATAAATAATAATAATTTTTTTTTAATAAAATATAAATTATAATAATATAATATTTTTATTACAAAGAGAATAAAAATAACTAAATTTAATATTAAAAATAATTAATTACCAAAAAGTTAATAATATATTTTTTACAAAGAGAATAAAAATAACTAAATTTAATATTAAAAATAATTAATTACCAAAAAGTATAATATTATTCACCACAAATTTACAATTTTAATTTTTACTGAAAAAGCATGTTTGGTTAATATTAAAAAGAAAAGATGCATTATAAATAGGCATGTAACAAAAAAATAAAAATTATTTTATTTAAAAATAAGATAATAATTTGAGAAAATAAAAAAAAGGAAGTAAATTATATGAAAACGAAGTGTGTAATAAAATGGGATTTTGACAAAAATAATATTCTTTCAAAAACTATTTTTTGACCTAATGCCAAATCAAAACTATTTATCAATCTAATGTTTATCCTAACTATTTATCAATCTAATGTTTATCCTGCCACGGAGAGACAGTGTCGTACTAAAACCACTAATTTAATTAGCGATTTCATTGCAATAGAAAAGTAACCCATACTAATAACCAATCAGCAAAAAAAAAATTACATGAATAAAAAATAATTTTTTGTTCGTATTGAGACCACCAATTCAACTGGTGATTTCAATATAAAATAAAAATTTTAAATTGTCAAATGACATTTTTCACTAAGATACATAATTCATTTGGTGATTTTAGTGAAAATATGGGATGTGACTATTAGTCAACAAAAAGTACACGAGAGAATATTAATTTGTTAAGAGTGCACCAAGTTAACAAAAGGTTTCAATAAAAAAAATATATATATTAACTCAAAGTATTATTTCACCAAAAACAAATATCATCTAGTCGTTTTGGTTCATAAATATTTCAAGTTAAGTAATAAAACATTAATTTTCTTATACAGTTACAAAATTACTAAAAGTAATAAAGTATTTCAAGTTGAACTCATATTATGTTAAAAATATCTTAATAACTAATATATGAAAAATTACTCATATTAATGTCTACCCACATATCCTCCTGTACCACATTTTGGTGGCCTCCTATTACAATGTGGTTTCAGTGTACTACATCTTTTCTAATGGCTTGATATTCTTTTCCATGCTCAATATTTATATTGATGTTCATGCAATGAGCTTGAACCATATTCAGAGATGGTTGTTATGGATTGAGAAATTTCAGAGTTCCATAATCATCTCAAAAGAAATCGTCAAATGAGTGCCTAAAATGGGATGTAAATCCATCACGTATGCAGAAAGATGCTACAAAAGTGTTGAAAGGAGGTACTGAATATTGAAATGACATTGACTCGCCCATTTCAGAGAAAGAAGTATCAGTTTGTTGGATTGCCATAATCGGAGCATAATGAGTGTTCGATGAGATTTCTAATGTTGCAAATGGTACACTCCATTGAAGTTGCAGTGCAGAAGATGATGTGTCGGACATATTAGCACGATAACCTTTGTAGTAGTTATATGTCATAAGGGAAGGGACTTGAGGTATGTTATCTATTAACGAGGATTTAACTGGAATATGTCTAAATGTCTTTTTCACATGTCCTTTGCCTCTATAGTTCTTTTGGTGTTTGAAACAAGAAAACTGAATAGATGAAGGGGCAGGTTAAAGCATATGATGAGTTTCAATGTGAATTTCTTGTTTCATTGCACCCAATAGACTGAACAATTTTCGATGGAATGATAAAGTTCTGCAAGTTGGTGATGTTGAATTGATATATATATATAGGAGTCCATCTGCATGTATTAAGAAAATATTATGGAAATAGGAGCAAATTTTATTATTTAATTAGATCAAGAAATTATAAGATAAGATAAAAATATATCGGCTAATTACCACAGCTTCAGTTTCTACACCTTGAAATGAAATCCAATGTCTAGTTCGTTATAGATACCATTGCATATATTTTGAGTGAGTGCCCAAAGGTGCTTGGAGTGGGAGAGATAAAACCATACAGAAGAGATGGTTGTTCCATGCTTGAATGAATGGTTGCAATTTATGCTCTCAATCATTATCAATGTAACCTCGTAAGTCAACTGAATGCAACATATCATGTTGGTATGGTGCCATTGGTATAGGTTGGTCCATCCCAAACTGTTAGAGGAAACGATCAAGTTAATATCATTCTACAATATGAAAACAAATCAATCATTTAATGAGTTCCAAGTGTGTCTCCCAGATAAACAAAATCGAGGAAGTAGTCCTTTAACTTCTCTATATGGTTGTCAAGACATCTAAAAGTAATAAATAACTTAACATTAAATTAGTTAACATAATTTTGACTATTCACTCTCTAACTAAATAGCATGTAAAAGACAAATTATAGTACCTGTTCAGGTCGTTTATCTAATTGGAATTGCATCCGCTTTATTGAATGCATCTTGT